ACCCCGCCCATGCGGCCACTCCACCCAATCGCCTCACGTGTCAAGGTGGCCAATGAAAAGGCGGGCCTGCGATCCCGGCCCGGAATGATTGTCCGTGACTCGTGTGTCCGTCCCGGCCGCGCTCACTGCTCTAGTGACGCCCCGAGCGAGCGAGCGAGCGAGCGAGGACTTTTTTCCTCCGCGCTCTCCGCCTTTCCCGCCCGGCTGCAACGTGCTGCCAGAGCCACAGCTCGACCGCTCCGACCTGCTTGCTTCTCTCTGGGCCCTTGTCTCCCGGCTGCAATGCCGCTGTGCAGCACGGCACGGCACGGCGCGGCACGGCATGGCATGGCATGACGGCACAGGGCCTTGTTTTATTTCTCCGGCAGAATTTCCTGGCTGCCGTGCCCAGCGCGGAGCTCCGGACCGCGGCACTGGGCCCGTTTTGTGACGTGCCAGGGTCCCCGGGCCGCGAAGCCCCGGTAGAAACGCGCCGGCGGCCCCGCCCCTTTCCCTTCTTCTCCGCCCTCCTCTCCTGGCTGCAATGCGGAGCGCGACCCACAGGAGGGCAGCACTGAGGCATTCCTTTCATACACGGGACCACCGGAGGGCAGCACCGAGCAGCGAGGTCGTCTCCCTCTGCGCTGCTCGTCGTGGCTGCAGTGCTGGGAGCGCACCACACGAGGGCAGCACTGAGCCGGGTTTCCTGCATGCTGAGTGCGGCTGCCCCATGACACGTGTGATACCCGCACTAACGACACACACTCGTGTGCGGTGCTGTGCAAGGCTGAGAGTTTTACACCTACATCACTATCGCCATGGACAGAGACAGAGGGAGAGATAATTGTTTTAATGATGGTGTGTATTACACACACACACATCTGCATATCGGTATACACACACAGCCGTACTGGATACATTTCTGTACAATGTAAGTTTTCCAAAGCAAGCAGGAAACCAATAATACCTTCACTTCAGCTCCCTGTTCTCAGTTTTATACTATTTCACACCGAGCGGAGATGCCCCGACGGGACCACCGGAGGGCCGCACGGAACAGCGGGTTCGTCTTCCCTCCTGTGCGCCGCTGCTCGGGGCTGCAGTGCTCGGAGCGCACCACCGGAGGGCAGCACGGAGCCGGATTTGCCTTCATACTCAGGCTGGACGCCCATGACGTCAGCTGTGTGTCTGTGCGCGGCGCGCGGAGCCCACGCGGACCGGCGGGCGGCCCCGGAGCGCTGCGACAGCTGTTGTGGCGACCACGGCGGGTGGTGCGGGAGACTGCGTTGCCCAGGGCGCGGGGCCTGCGGGGCTCTCTGCTGCGGTTGGAGGTTTCTCTCTTGAAAAGAGATGGCTCAACAGCTAACCTGGTGTGAACCAACCAAAAGCAAGAGTAGATGTGTATCATATATGCTACATGAATCAGAAGCCTCTACTCAGTCACATGCATTTTTGTTTCTATGGTTAAAAAATATGCATTCCCTCAGTCCAGCCAAATGCCCTGGAAATGTGCTACATTTCCCCCAATATTTAAAATAAGTAATACATTTGAAAAAGTAATTTCTTTTTAGAAATAAACATATATTAAAATCAATTATGTTATGGCACTGAGAAAATGGGTTTGGCTCCCCCTCAAATGAGCAGCCCCTCAGGGATGACATGGGTAGAACTGACTGAAAGTCTGCGGACATTACATTAAGTAGGCAAGGGGGGCAGGACCACAGCTGGGCTTAACGGACTCACAAACCTGCATAGCCAAATGGGCTAAAGGAGGCCTTCTGCCCCAAGGTTAGAGCGGGTGGGGGTGCAGCCCTGTTTACAGGGTGCAGGGGGCGCATCTCATAGTGCCAGGAGCAGCAGCACAGAGGAGCAGAGACCTGGCCCTGAGTTACAGGAAGGTCGATAATCCTCGGGGTCCCAGCGCGCTCAGCGTCCTCCAGAAGCCGACAATGTTCCCTGTAGTCTGCGGGCATTGTCTCTGGCCAGCCTCACCAAGTGGAACGAGACCCGCCCCGGAGAATCAAGGGGCCCTGGACCCTGCTTACAGGCTGCAGGCCGGGGGCAGAGGCGCAGAAGAACAGCTGGCCAAGTGCCAGGGCACTCGTCTCCAGGGCCTCGGGCAAGGAATACAGAGCCCACCCTCAAGGAGGAGAGCCATAATCATGCATGTGAGCTACCAAAGGCCAAGAGAACCCAAAATGAGGGGGCTAAGACCTGTCCCCTGAGATACAGGGAGGCCATGTGCCCCTAAGTATTAGAGGTGGGGGCCCTAACGCTCCCTGAGGCCAAAAAACCCGGACATCTATACTGGTGCTTATCCTCCTAGGTATGGAGGTGGGAGGAGAAGGCTACGAGGATGCATCTTGCCCCTCTTCCAGCGCTGGGAAGAAAATAAAGTACGCTGCAGCGGTTTTAACAACAAGAAGAAAATAACAAGTGCTTTCATTCCCAGGCGCTCCTCTCTCTCGCTCGCCACACTCTGACAAGGGAAAAAGTGTTCCCAGGCCAGAAGGGAACATCATGCTGCAAAGTGCTTGACCTCGAGCCTTACACTAGAAAATCCTCCTCCATTCCCAGGGGACAAGACGGCAGAGACTAGCACCCTCGTTACAGGACACGGACTGCCTGACCAGCCAGACTGGCCACAGGGGCCAAAAGAGCCAGGCCCAGAGCCCTGCTTACAGGGGGGGCCCACAGCCAGCCAAAGGACAGAGCTGTCCTCAGAGGCACATGGAGACCTGGACCCTGCTTACAGGGTGGTGGACTGCTCTGCAGAACCTAGCCGTCCCAGAGGATGCATGGGGCTCGCACCCCTGTTACAGGGAAGCTCAGGGGTCTGGACATGGAGTACCAGGCATAGATGCAGGATGAAGGACGGGTGCCTGGACATAGGAAATGGTGAGGAGGCCACAGGCTTCAAACCAGCCACGGGAAGCTCATCAGGCTCCAGGTTCTGAAGAGTTTGCTGCCACCTACGAGACTCAGCTCCTGTCTGCAAGGCTGTCCTGCTGCACAACATGGCAGACTGCCCCATCTCGCTTAGGCCAGTGGAAGAAGGCTATGCCCACCCTGCTTACAGGGGCACCTCTTTGACTGGCTGGCAATAGCAGTGGACTTGGTCTCCTAATTACAGGACATCCAGTGCTACACACGTTCATATCGCCTGTCCTAGTGTGTTAGGAGGCAGCACGCATCTTGCTTACAGAAGGCTGTGCCATTGGCAGCCAGGTCTGACAGCTGGCCTGGACCCCGATTACAGGGTGGCTGCACTGCACAAGACCACCAACCAGATTCATGCGTTTTATAATCCAAGTGGTGGTGATACACACCTTGCTAACAGGGTTGTCCCCCTTTCACCTGACTGCTGCAGAAGTGCAACAGCTTCAAGGGCAGAGACCCATTTCTGAGTTACAGAGAGCTCGCCCAAAGGCTCACGCAGCCAAAATTTGGGTAAAACATGACCAAGACCTAAAGGCAGGGAGGTCACTCTGTCCAGAGTCCCTTTCCTTCTCACCCCGTTTCTCTGAATGGCTTTTCTCCTACCTCATCTCTTCCCCGCTGCTTCCCCATCCGCTTCTCCTTCCAGTTCTTCTGGCATCTCGAAGAACAGAGACCGAGACCGGCTGTAAGTCAACAGTTAGAGTACACATCCAGCAGCTTGAACTTCTAATACACTTACCATCCTCCAGAAACCTGCCACTTTCGCCGTAACACATGGGCAATACCTCTAGCCAACCTCACAACGTAGCCTCAGATGAGCAGTAATAAAGGCAGGAAACCTGGACCCCCCTCCCAGACCAGGGACACAGGAAACCCCACCATCCCAAGCCCCCGAGGCTCAGGAATCCCAGGGTCCACCATTTAGTGGTGGAGCCCAAGGAGTGGACACGTCTTGTGTTGAAATTGTCTTACCTTTGCCTCCTGTTACTCTGGCCTGGTTTTCTTCCCTCCCAGTGAGCTCGCTCCTACTTGTCTGCCATCTCGTCTGCTTGAGCTTCCGGGGACGACGTGCACAGACCCCCCAAAGGGGACCAGTTTCATGGGATTTGGGGCTGCAGCCTCAGGTGGCCAGTCCAATCTCCGACACTTGACTCCTGGAAAGCCAAGTCAAGCGACGTCTGCCACTAATGCCTTTTCAGCAAGGGATTCAGCATCCTGGGTGACCAGCTCGGAGGCACTCGGCACACAGCGGTCAGAAGGGAACCGCTGCAGAAATGAAAGGGGCAGCGGACGGGGAAACTTGGACATGAAATGACAGGACAGGAGAGAGGAGGAAGAGTGAAGTGGGGGTAGGATGAGTTTGGAGGTGAAAGATGCCAGGCGCCAAGGAAGTGCCGGCCCCATCAATTCCATTCGTCTCATGCTTCCCGATGGCCCTGAGAGGGCACAAGCCCCCTCAAGTGACCATCAGTGCTTGACCGCCCACACAGCTAGGCAGCACCACACCGCAGCTCGGCAAGATGACCCCGAGAGCAGACAGCGGCGACCTCCCGGCCCTTGCCTGCTGCAGCCCCAAATGACGCCTTAAGTGGGGGCTGCGGGCCAAGCCCTACGGACCTGGCCCACGTCCCCCGCCTAAAGGCGCCTTAAGGGAGAACTACAGAGGCTCGGACCGTACCCACTGCCGACCTCAATGGCATCTTAAGGGAGGACAGCGGGGGCCTATGGACCTTGCCGCTGCCCCCCACAAATGACACCGTCAGGGAGGACTGCGGGGGCCCTCCGGCCCCCCCGCTGCGGATCCGAATGACGTCTTAAGGGAGGACCGCGGGCAGAGACAAACCGACCCCGCTGCCCGCCGCCCCCCAAATGACGCCTTATGGACACACCGGAGCTGGCTACAGACCTGAACTTCTGCCCCCCGAATGGCGTCCTAAGGGAAGGAACGGAAACGTGCAAGCCCGGCCGCTGCCCCACCCGCGGGTCACCGGCGAGTGACCAGCACACCCACGTGGCTCGGGACGTCACTCCCCACAGCCTGACACACCCCCGGGCCTGCAGAGGGGTCCTAGGTCCCCAACTGCAGCCCAAGTGTTGACCACGCCCGGTGGGCAGGGCAGCACCCCCCAGCTCGTATAGAAAGACAACTACACTGTGCTCGCGAACAGCGGGCCGTCTGGGTCTTCAGGGCGCCGCCCCCTCCATAAGCTGCCTCTTGATGGCGGGTCCGGGGCACCTGCTCCTCTCCCAGCTCCACCAGCTCTTTTCCGCCCCCGCCCACCCGGTGGAGGCTCCGCCCCTATGGACAATGGACCAATAGGACTCAGTCTCTCTCATAGCCCCTTTGTACGCTCGCCCCTAGGTCAGGGAGGGCAAGCTTTCCTCCTGCCTGCTCCTGATTGGCGGGGAGGGAAATGCCTCCGCCAATCGG